TTCAGTTTTTGGGCACGCATACGGTGCTGCAGGGATTTTTAGGTGTACCTCTTCGGGCTCTTGCATACCTTTTTCTCGTCAGATGTGTGCGTGTTCTTTAGATCCTCAGATGGCTCTAGCACTTTCGTGACCACGGGCTGAGAGTCTTTTGCTAGATTTTGGCATTTAGCAACTGACATACGGTTTAATGTGAAGACAAACAACACACTGGAATACCAAGTCGTTCTGTACTTCGAATAGTAGTGCCGGTGGAATTTCGGCGCACACCCCGGCACTAAATAGGGACCTCTACTGCAGTCGGATTGCCCCGGGGCGGATACAGCTGGCTTGTGGGAGAGCGACAGGCAGACAGATAAATAGTTCAACTTGTTGTTCACGTTGATGCTGTGTGTGCGGTACGCAGAAAGCGAAGCTTGGTGCACCCTTCAACGTAGATGAGAGCAAACACTGGTTGACCCCCGCAGTCTGGACGGCGGACTAGTCTATTGGTCGGATAATCGGACTACCCTGGCGTGCCCCGTCCCGGCTTTGCAGTGATGCAAGGTCAATGGTCTAACGACAAGGGCATGCACGACTATGAGTACACTCTCTCTCCGGCCGGCTGGATACGATACACAGCTAGCTGTTGAGATGAGACTTGTGAGGGGAGAGAGAGACAAATAGTCGACTTGCTGTGATGTTGTTCACGCGTCTTCTTTTCTGAAGGGTTTGGGGGGGGAGGGGGCGTACTCTCATGTATTGCATGCGTCAGCGGTTAGGCCATTGGGGGGAGTACGCAGAAAGCGAAGCCTACTACTGCACCCCTTCAAACAAAGCCAGCCAGCACACTAATTTTGACCGATGATGGTCGCCCGTTTCGTCGGCGAGACATCGATCATGCGCTGTGCGGTGTTCTTGTGGTCCATATCTATGTAAGACCGTTGTTTTTTCCTCGATCGCAGTAGTGCACAATATATGGTCGGGCGCATGGATGGGCGTTGATGCACTACATAGGAGAGACGGCATCGTTCGTACATTGCGTACACTTGGAGGAAGCAGCGTTGGTATCTATGTTGTTGTTGTTGATGTTGCTCTTTTTGATCTCATGAATTGAAAACCGTTTTTCGCAACCAGTATTAAGTCTAGCTCGCTGGCAACTGACGTGGATTTTCCTTCCATTAGTCACACAGGGGCTTATTTGCATCGATTTTTAAGAAACTTGCATAATATAAGTCATGTCCGTTCAAGAACGATTACTTACCCGTTTGATAATACCCCGTTTGGAGTGATGCGTGCATCTGTGGAAGGAAGGAAGCAGCTGTGTGGAAAAGCCTTCAACGGTTGTGTCACAGCACCACTCTGCCTACACTCATTGCATGTTGATTGCACTTATTATTTTTCGTAAAAATTGTATTCCCCGTCCTTCGGGCTCGGATGAATGTAATCAATGAATGTATGCACATTCTTTCCCCCCATTATTATCGGCTGGTTGCTCGAGAGTTAACAGTTGTAGAATATGCATCTACAGCAGTAGTAGTAGTTGTTGTTGTTGTTGTTGTTGACTTCACATTAAACCGTATGCCAGTTGCTAAATGCCAAAATCTAGCAAAGAAAGACTCTCAGCCCGTGGTCACGAAAGTGCTAGAGCCATCTGAGGATCTAAAGAACACGCACACGTAGCAAGGAAAAGGTATCCAAGAGCCCGAAGAGGCACTACTACACCTATACATAATCCCTGCAGCACCGTATGCGTGCCCAAAACTGAACTACACGTCCGTCTCACCGTTCGACTACAGTAACATCACCCCCTACCTGTCCCACTCTGTACCAAAACGAATGATTGCCGACTACAGCAAACTTGCTGTCTGAAGTGCTGTCTGTACAAAAACACCATGGTAGGCATGGAACAAGAAGCTGGCGGGGCACAAAGCTGCTGTCTGAAGTGCTGTCAGAATGTGTCTGCGGACGTACAGTGAAAAAGAACAACCAACCAAAGCCATGATTGCAATGGACAATCACCCGAATCTCTCTCGATCGTCTGTGTTATAGATAGGCACGCAGTGAAAATATCGACAATAGCTAAGAATCGTTCCACATTGAAGGGGTCTTCCACGATCAGGCACATAACCAAGGCACCCGGGTTAGCCACGCCATCTCTGACGGGTCTCTCTACAAAACCAGTGACGACGTCATCACATAGAACCAACACCGAAAATCAGGAAAAAAACGAGAAAAATTGACAACACAGATCAGATATAAATGTTTGTCCGTGCGCCACGGGTCGATGTCGCCCGCATGCTCCGGTGCCGCTGCTCCGTCCGGCGCCGCTGTAGTCAGCCCGAGCATAACGCCACTCGACCTGCTCCGTCCGTACACGCTCTCGTTGCTGTCCTTCCCAGTCGGTTCCTCGCTTTCTCCCTCGTTGCACTCAAGGTTCTTGGTCTGAAAAATAAAAATTCTCGCGCCGAAGGGGTCAACCAGCCCAGTTCAGCTCGTCGCCACCTGCTCCCTCCTCCTTTGATGGCGAAGCCAGGTTACTGAGGCAATGCAGCGCCCTCTAGCCAACCTAGGGCCGTGTACATAGTTCCCGTCCACCTTCTGACGGTGTCTGCCTCCGCGCACAAAAAATGAGATGGGCATCGCTGCCTACGCCGACGGCCAGAGGCCCGCGCATCTACATTTTTTCGCCTGACCCCATCAGTGCCGACCCAACTACACCACCACGCGCATGCCTCGCGGCGGATATGCGCAGCAGCAAGAAGGTTTCGGTCATCCCTTGAGGGTGAGTCTAGCCCTGCTCGCCAGAAAGACCCCCCCCTTCACTACAACCCACGTCTAAGCAAAGCTTGTCGAGGAGCGAGGGGAAGAGGGGAGAAGTGTAGCTCGGTTCGTTGACCCCCTGCGCGGCTGCTCGTTACCCACTACTTTCCTACTGTAGTACCCGCGGTGCTGTATTTAGGCTTTAGGTGTATTTCTGACTGACGGGTTGTTGTTAACATTCATCGTGTGTTGTGCCGATAGACCAAGAAATAGATCATGGCAGACAACACCAATGCATGACGCCTGGATCATGTCTGAATTAAATACCGTTTTTGTACGCTGATAATATAGACTCCTGTTCTTGAAGTTGCAGAATCCTCCATTTATGTGTTCGTGTACATGTATGTATTCTAGACTGGAAGAAAATTTTGAAGTACTAGATCCTCAGATGGCTCTAGCACTTTCGTGACCACGGGCTGACGGGCTGAGAGTGCTAGATTTGGCATTTAGCAACTGACATACGGTTTAACGTGAAGACAACAACAACAACAACAACAACAACAACAACAACAACAACAACTAAGAATTGTCTCATCATCATGTTTATATTAGAATTGGTTGGTTGTTGCCTTACTTGCCTTGAGGCTGGCTGGCTGCGGACTTCCTCGCTAGTCTAATCTACATATATATTTTAGGAGAAACGAATATACACACAGAAAGACTACCCGTTCTATTTTGTACAACCTCTCTGAACGCACAGGGCCACACGTGTATTGTTTTTTACTGCACGGCAGGGGATCGGGGTATCTAGGGACGCTTGTAACCGTGCCAGTCTGCGTACTCTGCCGTGTGTCTTTATTCCGTTCATTATCTTGTCTCCTCTCTCCGTCCAACTTCATCACCTAATAATTTGGGACCACCACCACCATCGCCGCCATCCACCCGTTGGATACCGCGAAGAAAAATGAACGCTAGCTCTCTTCTTTTTCATAAATTTAGTAGCGAGTAACGTTGCATGTAGAGCGAACAGCAGTGCGACCTTTCTATGCGCACTCACACACTATTCAATCGTGGGTCGGCTGCATATCGAGGTAAGCAAAAGGTCAACAAGGAGGTGAGTGAGTGCGTGTGATTGCACATAGACAGACGATGACTACGTACGTGTGCCGAAAGATACAAGATCTCGGTTGTTCGGAAAATATGAATGCCAGTGCAGGGATCTTCAAGCGCAGCGGCACCGAAGCCGGGAAATCGGAAGAGCGCTGAAACAAAAGCTCCTGTTTCTTGTATGCAACAACAACACAGCTGACCACCTTTTTCGCCACAACTTTTCTCTCCGCTCTTCCTCCCGCCAGCTGCGTTTCGTCATAGAGGCGCGCGCGAGAGAGAAAGAAAGCGCTACTGCTCCAGCTGTGCTGCTTGCTGTAGACGCACAGTCAGACAGCCGTCTTTTCTTGCTGCCCGCCAGCTCTGCCGACCACGGACGAGCGCGAGAACAAACGCGAACGGGATGCAGCTGCAGCCGCCCCCCTTCCCAGCCTCTCCCCAACGCCCCAATGACAGCAGAGTTGGGAGTAGGGATCCAAACCCGTTCCTCCACCAGGGCAACAGCAGCAGCAGCACTAGCCGGCCCTATATTTCGCAGCAGCAGCAGTTCGACGAGTCACCTTCTCGAAGGAGCTCGCCGCCCCCGCCGGCCGCACCCAGGCAACAAGAGCAGCAGCAAGTTCTCCCCCCGAGGCAGAGCCCCTCATCCGCCAGCGTGCCTGGCGGACGGTATTCTGCCCCTCCCCTAGCCGAGCAGCGGCAGCAGCAGCAGCGGCAGCAGCAGCAGCAGCAGTATCAGCAACAGAAGTGCTGGAGAAGCCAGGACGGCGGCGGCGGCGGCAGCGGTAGTGACGGCCTCGTCAGACCAGCCAGCAGCGGGTTCGAGGAGCATCGATACGACACCACCGAGCTGCAGCAGAGGGTGAGAAGGAGCTCGAGCGATCAGAGGCTGGACTGGAGGTTGGACGGCGAGCCCGAGCCCGATCCCAACCGCCGGCGCGCGACCAACACCCCCGGCCGCTGCAGGAGCCATTCCTCGGCTGCGCAGGACGGCGGCGGCGGCGGTGGTGGAGGAGGGTCAGGGCGTCCCCTCAGCGTGGGGCGAAGCAGGTCTGGACGCACCGCGGAGTTGAGGAGATCGCTCAGGAAGAGAAGTCAATCCGTGGGGGATAAGATGGTTCTGGTTGGGCCGGGAGCGCCATCGCCGCCGTTCAACCCGCCGGCGCCGGCGCAGCCCAACCTCCTCCTTTACCACGTCTCGAGACCGGAGCCACGAGGTTTGTTTGTTATGCGGTCATTCGTTCCAAGATGAAAGTCTGCTGCTGTTGCTGTAGCGGACTACATGTGTACATCATCTATAGTCTTGCATGTAGTTTTTGGTGTGTATCACAAAAAATGCCCCTTGTCCTTGTATTGCTGTTGATTTTTATCGCTCTCCTTAAAATATTCATCCTCGTTTGGGTGCTTGCCGCCGCTCCTCGCTGCTGCTGCTGCTGCTGCTGCTGCTTCTCAGCGCGCTGGGTGTTCAACCTCTCCAAGCCCACTAACGTCACGGACAGCGGGCCCCCGCCGGAGACCATCACCTCCACCATCGACAAGAAGCGGCCGAATCTGGGCGGTCTTGTGTGGGTCAACGCGGTCGCGGGCAGCCTCCACTGCTGCCTGCAGAAAGGGGTCAAGAATAAGGCCGTCACTCCTGTGCCGGCCAATGTGTTGGACGGCTGGCTCAACGGGCAGACTGGGCTCTGGTGGATAGGCGCTCTGAAGGAAGGCCACCGGGCGCTGTGGGACTCGCACGTGGTTATGAACTGGGCCATGGTCTTCATACCCTCTTCGCCGGAGGTGAGTTGAACTCTCGCCTTTTTTGTTGTTGTGTTTCCGGTTTGCGTGTTGGTTCTCTCGTCGAGGAATTTTGTCTTGTATGATGTTTTTTTACTTTTTGGAGAATATTTTGAATATAATACGACGAACTTCTTGCCCCCCGCGTAGCTGCTGCACACCAAGCAGCAGTCGCTGTGGTCTGTCCAGAACAATCCGAGATTGACCACGGGGTAATACTGCGCAGAACGTCACACTTGCCTCTAGTGCACCGGAAGCAGCTGAAGACCTGCTGCTTCTGCTGTAGATCACGATTATCTCCAAGCAGCCCCCCAAGATCGCGGTGGAGACAGTCGTAGAAGAGGCAAAAAATGGTCAACCTCGTGTCCAAAACATCAAGAACAGTGTGTTCTTTTTTCCGCACCGAGAGATAGAGATGGACGTTGTGTCATAATAAAATAAAAAAAAACGAATATGCTGGCTTTCACCGAAACCTACTGCTTATACATACGTACACGCGTGGTGCTTTTTGTTACTCAAACGCTACAAATGTGTTTTACCCCCCTCTTTTTTGCCCAAACCAGCAGCCGCGTACGTTTCTTTTTCGTTGTTGCTCGAGCGCATGCACTTACATAATTACCTCGCGATTCCTCTGCAGAAAATCGTTAGAGCTTCCCCAAAGCATCGCGTACGTACGCTATTATCCACCGGTGACGTGCACCTTGTACCTCCATTTTTGTTTCTTTGACTCAGGTCGGGTGGTCGGGTAGATGCGTCTAGGAAACGCGCCCTTCGTTGTTAATGTTTGTTTTGTTGTGCGAATGATATGGAACTGCTGCGATGAACAGACGTGTGTAGCTGTAACTTGTGGTTGTTGTCTTCACATTAGAACCGTTCTGATCTCCCCTCAGGAGACTCTGATGTCCGTAATGGTCCATCTGACGCGGACCCCTGCCGTGGTCACAAGCTAACTGCCCCACCAAAAGAGGGCGGGTACACCTTTCGAAGCTGTTAGACTACAATAACTTGTTCCGTTGAAGTACATTGAATTCTAAATCTACATGTACGTAGGCGTGTTTCCATCGGGCGCTTCTGCCGATTCACAGAAAAAATTGTATCCTCGGGGGAATGACGCGTGATTCACTGCCGTTGATTGTTGTGTCGTGTTTGCTTTGTGGAGAACAAACCACCCCCACGTTCCCGATCATGTTTGTGAGGGGATCAAGCAAACCCCTTTTTAAAATGAGTCAGAGAAGCTTTGGAAGAAGCAACAGCAGTCACTTCTTGGTCAGCTACAAGTATCTTCGTTTGAGCGTCGATTTCGGCACGAACAGACTGAGGGGGAACTCCAGTCAACGGATGTTCGGAATTTGCAAGAAATGAAGCTCCGCTTCCAGACATTCATGTCGGTAGCATCCGCTATTTGTTTTGTTTTATTCCTCGCGTCGCCCACACGACCACCTGCCTGCTTTTGCTGCTGCTGCTTCACCCCAAGAGAGCTCTTGTTTTGGGGTTCAGTGTCTTGAGAGGTTGACTCACATGCATTCACACATGTTATATTTTGGGATGAGCAGGCCATGATGACGCGAAAAAACGACTACCCGCTCCTGATTTGAGAGAAGCCGTAGGAATGGCGTGTTGAATTCCTCTACAATAGTTTTTCGTTCCCGTGGTTATTGAAAGGTCGGGCATGGTTGACCCAGAGCAATAAGGCCGATAAGCTGTGAAAGTAATGGTTCCATTTGTAGGCACAGCCGGCGCAGCCGGTCTGGTTGGGTTACCTGTTGTTGGTGTCTTCGCATCGGAAAAGACAACCCTTGCGGTCTCTACTCGCTGGCGGTACCATGACATCCATTTTTAACGGTCGAACGCATATGGGGTTCGAATCACGGAGTAAGCGAGCTCTTCTATTTCAAGTGAACAGAAGAAAGAACAGGAGGTTGTTCTCTTAGTCGAGCGCCTTTCTTCGAAGTAAGTATGCGTACAGTACAGCAACAGGAGTTTTTCTCTCGCTTCCGTTCCTGGTCGCGGAAGGTGGAAGGCGCTACCACTGCTGTAGTTCATGTGTACGTTTGGAGGGAAGAGAGTCCCGCACTCTAGTCGCGGTTTACATACGCATATATCAAAATCAAGCACCGCGGGGCGGGGCCTCGGGGAGAAGAACCCTGCTGTGTGACCACGGATATTGCGCTAGCTCCTATCCCCCAGACATGACTGCTGTCAGCGCTGATAAAGGGTGACGAAAAATCTTGGACACCTTCCATGGTTATGGAGAGTGTTGGTGATGTGGTACATGAGCGGGTAGTCTTTCTGTTGTGTGTTTATTTTTACTAGTGAGCGCATAACGATCCGTGTTCCGCTTAGCCGTCGCATGCGTTCCGGAGTCTGGGAAAGATAGGCTATACAACGGCGGTCGACGCGGGGGGCTACGCCCTCCCGCCTCGTCCTGCGTTTGAGATGTGCATGCATGGGAAATGGTAGATGTGAGGTGGCAGTTTCAGGCTTCAGACGCAGTACCGAGTGGAACGGTGATGGTTCGTCTGAGTGGTGGTGTACAGCGGAAAAGAACAATAGATGCAGCATTGAAGTCACGAGAAGCGTGCGTCATCATGCTCCTCAACACGTCTCTGAAACTGCAATGATTTGTTGAACAGAGCGTTGAAGCTTGGCGCACAAATACATGTGGATCTGTCGGTGTGAAAGTGTGGCTTGTACCATAGCTATAGCCACGAGATTACAGCAACAGCTTTAGGAATATGTTTCGCACACACACACCGCCGTCCTCCCCAGAGATCCCGCAGTATGTACCATGACAGAGATTTGTTCCGAGAGCCAGTTTTGTTTTGTCGGAATGTTGCATGTTGCCGTCTAGTCATTTTCTCAAGAAATGTTTTCTGCCTTGGGTTGTGGCGCTACAGCGTTACAGCGTTAGTAACGGTTCACGGTCCACACACACCATGGCTTAATACTTGTGCACCACCGCCTAAGTGGACGGAAGGTAGGCCATGCTAGATACACGGAGAGAAGGAGAGATAACAATGAACAGAAAAGAGATACCGCGCGGCCAATCACAGTCCCGCGCGAAGCGGTCAGGGGGAAGATGCAAGTGCGAACACGTTGTTTGGAGCGGTTTCGACGGCGCGGGCATCGCTTCCGGAGCTCGGCGCCCGGAACCCTCGACGACGGCGTCTTGCGGATAGTGAGGCCTCCCGGGGGCTCCGCGGAGTGGCAGGCCTCCCGGCGCCCTCTGCGGCACCATCCGGCCCCAGGGCGCTACTTGAGCCTGAGCTAATAGTCGCCACCTGTTTTTCTATTCCCTGGTTCTGTTGCAAGGTTAAGGTTTCTCGCCCCCGAAGGCCTTGTAGGCACCCCCCCTCTAAACGGACACATCTTCATCTATCTCTGTTGTGACAGATCGCTGCGAAGAACAACATGGAGGTTTGGCACGACAAGTGCTTGCCCGGCAGCCTGCGCGTGGCCCGGCCGGGGGAGCTCACCCGCAAGATCTTGGATATTGTAGCGGACGACCAGGACAAGGAGCCATCGCAGGTGTTTATCCTGGATGGTTTTCTTACAGTTTGGATTCGGCCACGCTACACAAAGTAGTGCCTTTGATGATGACCATTATTTCGTCGTTTTACCCAACGTACTCTTTACGCTACAAGAGGAAGACGTGGGTCTTGTGGCGGGAAAAAGTAAGTGAAAGGGTAAGGGTTCCACCGACAAGCGGGGTGCGCAGGAGTGCGTGTTTGTGTGTCTTGATTGTGAGCATCGACTGTGTGTGTGTGTGTGTGTGTGTGTGTGTGTGTTCGCGGCCGGCTGACTACTGAAAAGACGTCATCACTCTGAGTGCGGTTGAATACACAACACCTTTAAAAGACCATGATCTGGGACCCCGTGAAGGCGCTTCTAGTCAGAGGGTACTCTGCCGACGATGGGGACGCGCAGGACGACTGCTGCATATGCTAGCTAGCCTGAGGACACGCGGCGAAGTGCAAGCAACAAACCACTTTTTATTTCACCTTTCGCATGCCCACTGCTTTATTTTTATTATCGCAGGTGGTCCACACGCACCTCTGCATCCTCCTGGCGGAGGGAGACGACCTCGAGCTGAAAAGGCCGAGGATGTTTTCGTCCGCAACGACGCCTTCTCCCGGGGAGATTACTACCTCGAAGAAGGCCCTGAGCCACTCGCGCTCGATCTCTTTGTTTGACCTGGGTCAGTCTCTCGAGAAGAATGGCTTGGCGAGAGGAGGAGATGCGTCTCTCGGTGCCATCACAAATCGGAACGTGGCGGGAATTGAGGTGCTGCTGCTGTTGCTGTTATGGTTGTACCTAGTTGTTTTGTGTTGTCTTGAGTATCTGCGGTCCTGAGTGCGGTAGTTCGTCGAAAACGGAGTAGCATTAGTTGAGCCCGTTTTTCAGTTGCTGTCCCGATGCTGTATTGAGTGCTTCCATGACTTCGTCGAAAACAGAGCAACAGTAGTTGAGCCCGTAGTTCCTTCCAACGGAGAGCCTTCGATTCAGAAGTCGACGAGAAGAGCGTTTGCGAGAGAACGAAAAGGATACCCATCCTCTTGAACACGCGCGTTGCCGACTTGACATACAACGAGTCGACACCAGGCCTTGCCGGGGGGGGGGGGG